ACCTATTGGTACATTGTAAAACGTGTTATTACCTATTGGTACATTGTAAAACGTGTTATTACCTATTGGTACATTGTAAAACGTGTTATTACCTATTGGTACATTGTAAAACGTGTTATTACATATTGGTACATTTTAAAACGTGTTATTACCTATTGGCACATTGTAAAACGTGTTATTACATATTGGTACATTTTAAAACGTGTTATTACCTATTGGCACATTGTAAAACGTGTTATTACCTATTGACACATTGTAAAACATGTTATTACCTATTGGTACATTGTAAAACGTGTTATTACCTATTGACACAATGTAAAACGTGTTATTACCTATTGGTACATTGTAAAACGTGTTATTACCTATTGACACACCAGTAACATATAAATAAATATTATCATTAATGTGTGTTGAATGTGTCACATCAGATAAACCTAAACTCCAGTAACATAAATATTATCATTAATATGTGTTGAATGTGTCACATCAGATAAACCTAAACTTATCACATATAACTGCACCATCACAGCACACCATACTCACTAGCTTATCACCACCACCACCACCCACCTGTATCTGTTATTTATATATTAGTATATAGCTACCTCTAAAACTAATGACTTCAAACTACCACCACCAGTTAAAAGTGTTTTGCATAACCTGTTGTATAGCCTAAGAAGTTGTAGTGCATGGCAGTGCAAGTAACCTCTTGTCTACGGCAGTTGAAGATACGCTGATAACAGCACCACATCTCCTGCAACTCTTTACTATAGCCCCCTAAGAAACCACATATGTGTTACTGAGACTAATGCATCTACTATTCTAGTAACTTTTTTGTGAAATAAAAAGCTTTTTTTTTATTTAAGTACGTCAAATAACGTTATGGTGCTCTCAGACTAGTCAGTAAAATGTTTCTTTAATAAATGAAAATACATTAATTCTGTAGTGTGCTTCGATCAGACCTTGGTTTCTTTTAGATTTATAAGAAGTAAGATATTTTTCTAAATTTCACAAAAAACCTTTGTTAACTTTATAAGAGTTCGACCATTTTCAAAAGTCTTCACCGACACACAAGTTTTAGCTACCAACTAGTTTCTACACCTCTGAAGTGATAAATTCTATACTAGTATCAGATATATATACATAAAAGCTTTGATAGCAATTTTTTAAAGACAATGTAACTTGCAGATTCAACTCAGTGGACTAGGAATCTGGAACAAATATACTGTTCATTAGTAAATTAAATAATCCATAAGATGTACAGTTCTTATATTGGTGTGGTTAAAATTGTATCAAGATTAGGTAAAAATACACGAACAGATGACCAAATATTACACACAAAACTAACAGTACCAAACTTCCACAGTAATGATAAGTCACAAATAATATTACTCGTATTCATAGTTATATGGAGTAAGCAAACAGAACAAACTAAAAAAATATATATATATATTGTATGTTCATTACATATTACCTGAAGTTGGATGATATGTGAGTTTTTTTTATACAAGCAATACCAAGTAACTGGACGACCCAACAGAAATTCTTGTAAAGTTTGGCTAGGAATACACAACCAACTACCTGGTAGAAAAATAAAACAGGTAAAATACTTTGATATGATAAACAGAAAGGTAAAATAACAGGTAATGACTTCAGTATGCTGGACAAGCAGGAAGATTAAACAGGTAAAATACTTTGATATGATAAACAGAAAGGTAAAATAACAGGTAATGACTTCAGTATGCTGGACAAGCAGGAAGATTAAACAGGTAAAATACTTTGATATGATAAACAGAAAGGTAAAATAACAGGTAATGACTTCAGTATGATCAACAAGCAGGAAGATATAATCAAACAGGTAAAATACTTTGATATGATAAACAGAAAGGTAAAATAACAGGTAATGACTTCAGTATGATCAACAAGCAGGAAGATATAATCAAACAGGTAACAGACAGAACATAAAACATCAGATATTCTGAACATCAACATCACCAAGATATCTTTCCTCAATTATAAGTTGCAAATTTATGGGTTTAAAAAGATGTTTATAATGTTCAGAAGTTAGGTGTGTTTGTTAAATAAAAAAAACAGCTCACTCATAGTTTCTGTTTATAAACTTGTTACCCAAACGTGCAAAAATATATAAAATATTATAGGTGGAAAAAAAAACAATAGTTAAGATAAATGGAAATCAGTCTAAGATCAAATTTTACTCAAACATAATAGACTGGCTAATTAGTTCCGATTCTTCTTTCCAAAAAAGAAGGTATATATAAAATACACGTATTGTTGAACACAAAATAATTGTTACCTGTAAAATAGCTTTAAGCAAGATTACCACGACATTATACGCAAGCAATCCGTTCCACCTGAAATAGATAAAGTAAATTTGAAACGTAGATTGAGTAGGATTATTAAAATTTTTTTAAAATTATAACTATAATAAATTACTTTCATTTTATTTTATAAAAAATAAAACACTTCTTGAAATATAATAACACCATAATCCCCAAAAACATCCACTTCATAATTTACAGGAACAAGGACTCACATTCTCAGAAGGGTCTTCATAGGCTTCAAGTAAAATTCATTGCCGTTCCAGAGAAACAAGAAGCAGCCAATCACGTATCCCATAGCAAATAGACTGACTCTACTGGTTCCTGACAAAAACACCACTGCAAGAGTTATCCAATAGAAGGAGAAGAATACAAGGACTTTTATCATGTCCAAATAAGACCTGAAAAACACAGTTCATTCATCATTAGATACTTCACTACCAAGAATTCTAAATATCAATTTTTCTTATAAGTTCTGAAGTTTTTCTATAGATTCTGAGTGTTATTTCTTACGTACGAAGTAACAACTGATAGGCTCTTACAACAGTTTTTAGCTAATATCATTCAATTTACCTATAGGTTCTCAAGTACTTCTATAGGTTAGTGTTACTTATTAGATTTCAAATAGTACTCTTATAAGTTCGTATTGTAACTACTAATAACAACATTTTTCTTGTATGTACTTATATAGGTTCAGAATATTATTCTGTAGGTTTCAAATAACATTTTTATACGAAAAAACAACTTTCACTTTATTTTACATCTTGTAGTGCAGAGTAAAAATGTTTACTTAACATATTTTTTCCAGGAAACAAATTATTCAATATTGTCTTTGTAAAGTAATTAGGTTTTTGCCTCACATAAACACTGGCAGTAAATAAACCTTCTGATGGAAGTACCACCAAGTAACACATCTAAAGATGGGTTATTACAGAAATAAAACCGACCGTTCCTTCCACCAGAGTTAATTCGGCATCACCATTTTCATACTCACTAATTTCTACAAGTTATGGATTACCTCGAGAATTTCAAACGTAAGAACCATTTATATTAAAAACTATTTGTTGGTTGTCATGTTTTTATATACGTTTCGTATCATAAACATTTACAATAATAAAGTGATAAAATAATATTAACTTTGTATAAGTAACAAAATCTGGTACAGGGTTGGGGAGGGTACTCGGGTCTTGCTCGAGCCAGATTTCACGGTTACTTCCTCCTTCGTACATTTCCGAATACGATCCCGTCTCAATAGTAAAAACATGCAACTGACAGCAGGCAAACAGAAGTTGGAAAAAGTCCACTGTAAAAAAATAGAAGAATTTGAAACACAATATTACGATATTGAAGACTACACGTGAATTTTGTGAAAGAAACAAGTCGGACTATCGCTTAGGAACAACAGCGATGCATAAGTAAACTGTAAGAAAACGAATTTTTAGAGTAATATTTTTCTATTATGTGTGTTCAGACACACACACACAACTTTCAGGAAATTTAAAATTATCAATTTTCAAGTATTTTCCCTTATTATTATGTAGACTCACATCAGATAAATAAATATTATCATTAATATGTGTTGAATGTGTCACATCAGATAAACCTAAACTCCAGTAACATATAAATAAATATTATCATTAATATGTGTTGAATGTGTCACATCAGATAAACCTAAACTCCAGTAACATATAAATTCACTAGCTTATCACCACCACCACCCACCTGTATCTGTTATTTATATATTAGTATGTAGCTACCTCTAAAACTAATGACTTCAAACTACCATCACCACCCATGGTGTGCTGTGGGGGTGCAATTATATGTGAGAAGTGGTGATGGAGCGGTATTTGTATTGTTGGGCCATCTCAATAATATTATTACGAAGAACATCAAAATGTGATTTCTGACATTTGAGTAAAAGGAAGTAACATAATGTTGAAAAAAATAAATTATGTTTAGTTAATAGCACTGTGGTGTGTATAGTAATTGTGTATTACGTTGAAATCTACACCAAATTGTTTCTGTAACATTTAATATGTAGAAAGTTATCTTGTCCAGTCTGGAATCTCATGTTCATTTATTATATAAAAATATCTTAAAAATCAGGATTGGACACTTTTCATAAGGAATGTAAAAATAATTTTGTGGAATTGGTCTTATTCAGGGTTTATAACTTCCTGGTACAGGAGTGTTTACTAGAAGATAGTGAGTAAGTTGGTCTTATGAGGAGTAACAAAGATACATCAGACAGTAAGAAAGATTTATGAGAAGGAGTAACAAAGTTATGTCAGACAGTAAGAAAGATTTATGAGAAGGAGTAACAAAGTTATGTCAGACAGTAAGAAAGATTTATGAGAAGGAGTAACAAAGATACATCAGACTGTAAGAAAGATTTATGAGAAGGAGTAACAAAGATACATCAGACTGTAAG